CCCGGGCTTCTGCCACTCTCTGAGTTCGCGCGGCGGGAGCAGCAATGCCGCGGGGGGCCTTCCTCCATGCCCACCGAGCAGACCAACAGCGCGCCGACGCACAGGGAGCAATCCGCGCGGCCCATCCTGACGTCAACTGCCGACAGCGCCCAGATCTGAGCACAGATTTGGCCCCCTGCCCAAGATTGCTTCAAAATCCACAGCCGCGGCCGCCAATGGTGGGAATTCAAATCCCACATCCGGCGCGCTGCCGATTTCTCATCGGCGCGGCTTCGCCCCGGCCGCTGGCTCCCAAGGATCTTCGGGCCCCGGGGCCGTCCGAATCCATGTGAAGCGCGCCGCCCCCGGTGCCGCGCTCTTCGCGATCGCCCGCCGTCGCTCCTAGCTCTCGCGCGGATCACTTCAAAACCGATTCGCGCCGGTCGTCCCAGGGACCATTCTCGGCTGCCCCGGTGCAATGCGGACCCAACCGCACATTCGCTTCTGGCAACCATTTGCGTCGCAATTACGACGGGCAGCCGCACAGGTTCCCGGCCTTCCCATGCACGCTCCCCCGCCTTCTCCGCGCAAGGCCCAACCGCTCCGATTGCCACTCCGCGGCCATGCAGGCGGCAACACCGCTCACCTTGGCCCTCTCCCCCTTCAATCCCGCTCCTCCCGGTAGGCGCCGTCTCCAGAAGGGCACGGGCGGCGCCGTGCGGAAACGCGCCGCCTATGTAGGGGCCCCCGGCCGGCGCCGCCCTTGGACGGGAATTACCACGTTCTCGCTCGCGGCGTCACATCCATGAAAATCCACCCTCATGCATGTCGCCGTCGGCTGTGACGCCCGCCGGCAATTGTGGGCAGACGGTTGGGAAACGTGGGTTGCCTGCTCCTCGACTGCTGGATGATGTCATCCGCACCGGCCTCCATGGCCCACACCGCTGCTGCACAAGAAAGCTGGTCTTGGACACAACTCAATGATGGCGACATAGATGCCGAGGTTCTCGCGTAATGGAGCCACACGCGGGATTCGTGGTAACGTACCTCATTACCTCAAAGGCACATTTGTGACCGCGGGAGTCCCTCGCTTGCCACAGAGAAACAGCTCGTTCAGATGACGCCCACTCTGCTGCCACGACGGGAGATTGCACTGCCTTGATGAGTTTGTGATCCACTTTCTCGGCGCGCCTGAGGCAACCGATGCCTGAAGATGAATCGACACGTAGACACACATCGGCAGGACCTGACGAGTTCTGGTAAACCAGCTTCTGAACCAGAAATTGGAGCGCGTGTATGAGCTTGTTGCCTCTGGGGCGGCGGTAATCAATCTGGAGAGAGCCGTTTTGGCGATATCACTAGGAAAAAAGGGCCAAATAACACGTGTTCAAACGTGTACAAAGTTTACGGGTTTGAATTACTTTTGTGTTCTTGGCGTGTAAAACACTGATGAAACGCTTTGCATATGTGTTCGCAAAAAGTGCCATTTGCTCCTTTTTCTGCTGTTGTATTCATTCCAACTGAGATTTCCATGTGCAATCCCAGTTTCGAATGAAGATCGCATGCACGGCTGTTTGGACAAGATCGGTGCGACAACCGCCGAGAAATTTGCACCTGGACATGTCTTGGTCCACAGTGCTCGGCAGTCGATGCATTTCCGCCACGCAGGCGATGGGGAAGGGTGGGATTCTTGCGAAACATTTGCAGCTCACGGCAAAGCAATTTTCTACAGGGCTCTGGCTCTCTGGCTGCGGTCCCGCTCAACATTTTCCGTTGATGGGCGGGGTTGGTGGGAATTGGGAGCCAAGGGACTTGAGACATCATGCTTGGTTGTACTGATAGTAAACTGTTTGAATTTGTGGATCGGACGTCAACGCGACACTGATGCGTATCTGGCGGAGCGAGAAACGTGTTGGGGGTGGGTGGGTGGGTGGGTAGGGCCAAGACACGGTAATAAAGCCGTGTGGGCGCATCCGCTACAGCAGGGCGAAAGGCGGCGCACTGTCCATGGCACGTGCCTCAACAGATCAGTTGAGCTCGTGACCTCAGGTCATCAGGTAACACCTGCTTTGTCTATCGACAACGAGGACCTCATAATGCTTGGCACAGAATCGCCCCGGCCTCAGCGTCAGCATCTCAAAGTGCACAATTCACCAGGGCGCAAACAAGCAAAATGCACCCCGGTGTTCGTTCACGGCCCTGTCCACCGTCACTTGCCTGTGCGCCTCACGCTGAATCGATCTAGCCTAGCCGCTAGAATATTGAAAGAAGCACGAGGAAAAGGCATGAGAAAGAATGGATGAATGTGTTCTTTTAGGCCACGTGCAAATGCGACGCACTGGTCAGTTCAAGTGTCTCTGCTGCAGCCAACTCGTCAGGCGGCATCAGGATTCCGGCGGCCTCAACAAGGCCCCATAATGCTTGGTAAAACGCACCACAAACCCCATGTCGTCAGAATACGCAAGGGCACAGGTCAACAAGCATCCAAAGACACCAACAAACCCGCAGAGTTTGTTCATGCCCCTCCACACCCGTCACCCATCCCATCAATCCCCAAACGTCTCAATGAACCGCGGGGGCCAGAACCCAGAACCATGGCGATTCCCTATCCGCTGCGACACCGCGCCCCTCAGCAACACCTCCCACCTTGAGCCAGACCTTTGCAGTCCCATGACAGACGACTACGAATGAAATCGACCCACACCAGGGCCACGGCTCCCAACAAAGCAACAAAGGAATAAAGGGAGAGAAAAGAAAGGACAACAGCGCAAAAATCAGAAAGTAGCAGAGCGGGAAAGCAGCAAACGCATGGGGTCCACAGACAGATGAGCGGACGATAATCGAACCGCCAATGCGATACGGTAATCGAACCACCAATGCGATACACGGTAATCGAACCACCAATGCGATATGGTAATCGAACCACCAATGCGATACGGTAGTCGAACCACCAATGCGATACACGGTAATCGAACCACCAATGCGATACGGTAATCGAACCACCAATGCTGGTGGCCCAACGCAAATGTTGGTGGGCCGTTGCTAATGTTAGTGGGGCAGCACTAATATTGGGGGCCATGAGGTGGCCTCCCTGCAGCCCACACACCCTCCGCGCGCCCATTGTGCCCCCGCGGGAGTTCCCATGACTCCCCTCTTCGCCCTGGTGGCCCTGTGCGCCGTCGGCGCCGCGGCGGAGGGGGAGCCCGCGAATAACGCCACAGGTGGGGCGCGCCTCCGGTGCTGCCGAGGGGGGCAAATTGTCAAAAGAACACCCGGCGGACCGACCACTTCTAGTGGCTTGCATTGGTTTTATCTGTTTTCCTGGGGGTGGGGGAATAAAGTGGCGTCGTGTGAAGGGGTAGAGCTCCGAACTCGCTGGGGGTAGTCGGGCGCGATTGGCACAGGAGGAAGGGGCGCGTTGGGAGGTGGGCGATTGGGGACCGTGTGACACCGCGGCCCGGCCATGCCAACGATGTAGCGCGGCATCCGCCGAATGCGTCAGTGCCCCCGTGGAATTACCGCTCGGCTTTTTCTCCTCGGTGCGGCGTGCCCTTGGCGGTGGCGCGTGGCGTGTGGGAGGTGTTGTTGGGGGGGGGGAACGTGAGAGCTAGTGACGTGGCCCCGGGGCTGTGTGACGTCTTGGCGCAGATTGCGCTCCCCGCAATGCGGGGCGTGGACGCAAGGGGAGCTGCCAGAGCGGCCTGGTGAGCCGTCGAGCGCGCGGTTCGCTTCCGGGCTGGGATCTGCGCGAAGGGCTTCGATCGCCAGTGGGAATGTTATGCCTTCCTGGCAGCCATGCCGCCCCGCTGTTTGCTTTCTCGGCTGCAATTTTGGTTGCGAAATCGCAACGTAAGTGAATGGACGTCCACGGACTGCAAAGTTTCAGCCGTTCAGGAGCAACGTACGGGAAGCCTTCGCCGGCCACACTCTGATAGAACATTGGTCTGGTTTGCACCCAGGCAACTCAACCAAGCCCCCACGGGAGATTGGTCCGAGGGTCGCGGTACGCTCGTTATCCGATGTCAGTTTGTCCATTGCCCGAGGCCACCGCAGTCGAGTTCTGTTGCGTGTGAAGTTGCATTGTGAAGTATGCAAATCGAGGTATACTGCATGCAAATGTGCTGTTCTGAATCGTTCATTAGCTGCATAATTTGTGAATCGGCACACGACCAGCACCCTACTCCCTGCCCCAGTAACAAGTCGTTTGATTGTGGGAGTCATTGTCCTGGCAATGAAGCCTCTGCCTCCCTGTGCACAACCCACTCGTTTTGGAGCGGGGATCAAATGGCTGGACGGGCATGAGTTGTGTGGTAGTTTCTTATGTGCGTTGGTGCCAACACTGGTACAAGGGCCTGACTTTGTCATGGGGCCCAGTGTTGTTGCAACAATTCCTTCTTCACTCTCCATAACCAATTATTCGACTGGCAGCAGTTGTCATCGTAGACAGCAATCGACAAAGAAATTGCTGCCCATCTTATTTGGGTCATCCATTGCTCATGCATGCTCATGTGAAGCTGAGAACAGCAAGCAATCTCAGGACAGGCCATAACCCATCTGCAGTATTTCTGGCCAGTCTGTGCGCACGATCGCATCTGTACACAATGTCACAGTAGATCATCACACAAAGCTTCTTGATATTTTTGGACACTTTGCATGGACTCTGCTACTGTGGGATAAGCCATCATAGCTCTGCTTCTATTGCAGGTGCTTGTTGATTGCACGCATTTGCTTGCATTCACAAGAATCACACCTTTGGACCTGCAGTAATCGATTTTTGAACAGAAGCAGGCAGCATGCAATGTGACTCTTTGTGCTGCTCGTGTCCATTGCAGGGCGGCAGCCCAGCGCCAAAGGGCCGCTATCCCTACATCGTTTCCCTGAGGGATGCAAATGGCGACCATGCATGTGCGGGTGTGTTAATACATCCCAGATGGGTGGCCACGGTGGCGCATTGTGTGGATTCTAAGAGGGGATTTCCTTCAGCATTGAAGGCTCCCTTCACTGTGTTCATCGGCGGCTTGATGATTGATGAATATGAGGAGGTGAGATGGACATGGCGTTTGTACATGACATTCTGTAAATTATTTGTCAGCCATTGAAATCTATGCTGCCACAAGACCACACAGAAAACAGTGACTCTTGGACATGATTTGATAGTCTGGAATTGACGAACACAAAGATAACAGTGTATCCTGAACGTGATGCCAGGAAGGAATTTGAAAAGGAATGCACACAAAGAACATTGTACCAATCTGATGTTTCTTGCAGCGGCTGCTGTCATTTGCAGCCATGTTTGCCATCCTGCAGATGAGGAGAAGAGGGAGATATGGGCAATGGTGGGCAGGTTGGAGCGGTGGGTCGTTAGGAAAATCTTTGTAATCCTTTTTAGATGTTCACTAGCATCGAATCTTTTAGTGCATTATTTCATTGGCTAGGTAGGTCCAGTATGCAATCGCCCCAGGTAAAAGAATTTCCCCGCAGGCGATGTAAGGTGGCAGGGGCATACTGGCCCAGGAGGTCTTATGGATACTAGCTCACAGGAAAGTCCAAAATTTGAAGCTGGTTTCAAGCAAGTGCACTTATGGTCTTTTTGTGGAAACAGAAGCCTTTTTTGGCTGATATGTGGCCAGGAGGTTTCGGGTTCAGTGGAAGGCGATGCCAACGATTCATGATGTGGAAACAAGATGCATGTTAGTGTCCTTGATGCATGCTGCCATGCACAACTTGCATTTGAAGACGTCTTGTGCCACCAAAATCTGCCATTCCCAGGGGCCAGTTTGTGACAGAGCATAATGTATTCAGGGTTGTTTCTAAGATGGTATCAGCTGCGGCTGCAAAGTATGGTGGGGTGCCTGTCAAGCTCATAGCACGTGTTTGACTGCTTGCTGCCTGCCAGTGCCACACTGAAGTGAAAACATTTGTCCACCATTCAATCCCAGCATGATGTGTTCCTGCAACTGCGTGTCATTATTAACACCGTTGGCAACAGCATTTGCAGGAGCTTGTGCACATGGGCGTCAGAAATACTGGAATGGAAACAGGGCTGCATTTTGGTACAATATCGCCTGTGTGCTGTTGCATCACAAGCCAAGGTTTTCGTCACAGCCTGCGCCAATAGCAACTGCAGTGCCTTGCCAAATACTTCAAAACTGGTTGTCACATATGCCTTGGATGCCAGCAAACTGTCGTGGTACTCCTCTGCTGACTCAAGACTATAGCTTCAATTCAATTCCATCCATAGCTTACCCCTATGACATTAGCAGTTAGTGCACTGGTCCAAATTGTCAATGGCAAATAAGTGGCCAAACTGCACTTGTGCTGTGAAGTTGCTTGTAGATTTTATAGTTTTCCTGGCCCAGTAATTCATATGTGTTGTGTGATGTGCGACTCAAAAGGTAATGTGCCTTGTTGACAGGAGCTGAAAAGGTGTCTTGATATTTGTTGCAGATGGCTGTTGTATCGACCATCATTCTCCATAACTTTTGGAGCGGGTCGCCAGCGCGAGGCTTTGACTTTGCCCTTCTGCAGCTGCCCCTCAACTCCAGCCAACAGCCTGTCAAACTCATTTCAGATGACGCAGTGCTGGTGGAAGAGGAGCCGCTGGCAATAGCAGGCTGGGGCCGAGTCCAAGGAAGCGGGCCATTTGCGCTCACCTTGCAAGAGGCTGATGAGCTGCCATTCATCTCGCCTGAAAGATGCGAGCCAACAGACATAGGCAGCGCAGCTCAGGACTTGCTATGCGTTGGTGTTGGGAAGGCTGGTTCGTGTGCTGGTAAGCTTCGGCACACATGCACATTTGGAACTCATATCTGCCTGCTGATTGTTCCCATGAATGGGACCCTTGGCAATGCCCACCTACCCTTTCCATTTGGAGTTGTCCCACCCTGTCCATTCCACAACTTGGCCTTTCAATATGGGCTGGGTTCTCAATTGCCAGTCAATGGCTGGATGCAGGTCATGTTGTTCAATGAGACACTGGATGTGTTAATTGTGTTAGGGGGCAAACAATGCAATACACTGCAGATCTTAGGTTCGCGATATGTATAGGTCAGGTGTGCATTGCCTGTTTTAGCAAGTATTCCTTGCCCTCAGTGCTCTGCTGAGTCGTTATAATCTACCAGATGACCATCATTGGACACTCTGTATGTTGCAAGTCTCCACTAAATGCAGGTGCCAGCCAATGGGGGCCGCTGGTTCTCGGACATGGAGTTGATGCAGGCACATTCTGTGATACATGTAATGATTTCACTTTAAAACCCTTTCCCAATTTTAACAGATGACCGTTGAAATTAGGTATTGGACTCCTGCCATGTACAATGGCAACAGAAGCCTGCCTCACACATTGCATGCAGTGTCCTCAACAACTTGTCACTGCCCTGTTCCCTTGTGGGTCTAAAATGCGGTTCTGTTGTTCTTGAGGTGAGGCAACCGCTGCTGTTGATGTGCTGACAAGAATGTTTACCAAAATGCAGGCGACCAAGGTGGCCCCCTGATCCGGAAAAACTCATTGGACCCCCAGAATTCAACCCTGGATGAATTGGTGGGCATCGTGACGTCGATACCAAGTGCCTCCTGTGCGCAGTTGGGCCTGCCATCCGTGTGCACAGGCATCCAAAAAGTGAGCACATTCATTGAGCTGAATATCAAGGACCTGGAGCGATAATAGAAGGACAGCTGTGGACCAACGTGCTGCTGCAACAGCTCACGTGTGGTTCGGCAGGTGCAATGCAAAAATGGAGTTGAACACTGGGCACTGAATAAACTGTTGGGCACCAGGGCCAGATGGACCTTCTGCATTGCTATGTTTGCATCATTTTTCAGTGCCACCATGCAGGGAATTAGGGACGGCTGCTCTATCGTGGATGCTGCTAGATCATTGTCCTTGTTGCAGCTATTGCAGCAGGGCAGGCATGGTTGTTCGAACCAGAGAACAGCAGTTGCTGCTGATGTTGACATGCACCAAGCGCCAGGACCTGGTGTGGGAATGGCATTGAAACAGCACGACATAAGTGCTTGTGAGATGGCCCAGCTGTGGCTAGCGCTATTCACATGTGGGGAGCATCGGGGCCACAGGGTGCGGGGTGATTTTGCCAAAGGGCGTGGCAGATGCGGTGTGAGGCAGCATGGCGACAGCTGGCACCATCTACAGGTTGACACCAAAGCAGTGATGAGACAGGATCGTTGCCCAATCTAGGCCTCGTTGGGACCCGGGAGAGGGTACATTAATGTTGGGAATGGTGTACATCTGCAGCGGCTGTGAATGCATGTCGTGGCCTCCTGCATGTTGCCCAGGCCTGTTTGGAGGTTTGCATGATCCATGGGGTGCTTTTAGCATCCTGTGTTGCACGCCGTTTTCTTTCGCTTGTGTTGCACCATTGACGCCGAAATGTGTCTGGATCAGCAGCTGATGGATAGCCCTATTGAGCCAGCCCTGGTGCCTGCTTTGCGGGCATTCACTATGCAAGTGATGCAGCAGCAGGAGCACTATACTTGTTTGGCGTGCATGTGTGCCACGATGGCGCTGCTGCATCACTTTGAGGTTTTCTTTGTTTATTTTGCCCATTGTGAAGCTTCTTTCAGATTGTGCTAAGCACAGAGGGTTTGAAACGGGGCCCAAGTCCTCGCAGAGGCGCCTGCTTTTCTCCAGCAGTCAAGTGGCAGAAACGTCGTGTTCTTCTTCCAGATTACCTCAGGGCCAGACCTCTTGTCGTCACGCGATGGCCACCGTAGCCCCACCTACGTCCTACATCCACTGTGCTGGTGCCTCACATGCCTTGGGGTGAAAACGAACACGCAGTGGTAACACCGCCAGCACATAGAAGAGCAAACTCGCGCAGATCCTTTCAACAAGTGGCGAGGTTACCCGGGTCCCAAGGCAACCTGAGGAAACATCCGGAGAGGATGCCGTCATCTGTTCCCAGGTGCGATCAATGGAATGTCTCTCGCATAATCTGCGCTACCTGGAAATCCACGCCGGGGCTCAAAGGACAGCTCTCAAAGAACCACGCCCGCTCTGCGACCGCCCACTACCAGGACAACTTTGCAAGTCTCTCGAGTCCCTGCAGCATCCTCTGCACGTGCAACTCCGACACCAAGCCTTGGAAGTTGGGGAAGAGCGTGTTTCTGTTCGAGCCGCTCCCCGCAACCACCAGGGGATAGTACGCTGGGGTACAGCCAAAATGAGACCGAAAAGTAATCCAGCGCCAACAATTGCGCCGCCTGTCATTCATTTTCACACGGGAGGCCAGAGCAAGACGGGCGCTTTGCACTGCCTTTCAGCCAGACAATCTCCAGGTAAGCACTAAGCCAAACAAGAGAAAGATGTTAGGAGTGCCGATGTTGGCATTACTATCTTCGTGGGCCGAAACAGGGATCTGGCTGTAGCAAAGGTATTTTGACTTCATGTTTTGCGGGTCCTAGCCTTTAGGGCCCGAGCATCATACCCTCACCCTGCACACCCTTCGTGCTCACCAATTTGGGAAACACTGGATACCGGATAAACCCCTCAGTGCAAGCACGGATTCAGCAAATTTGCTGATTTAAATCGCTGGTGTACAAACACCACCAATGTCGCGGTGTGTGATAGCAAGAAGCCCCACCATTGATAACACACTTTCTGGTTTCTTTCGCTGTTGAGAGGACAAAATTGGCAGGCAACGTCGAGAAGGGAATTCCCTGATTTGCGTCTCTCTGCAGCCCTGAAACATGCTTCAACGATGCAACACGTTCAAGCGCGTACCACTACTGCACAAAGCCAGATACTACCAAATTTGTTTAAATGTTTGAAATTGAATAAACTTTCAGTTGTTGAAACTACATAATTATAGCCATCCTCCACCGTCCTCGTCTGTCAACCTTCTAGGAACTCAAGTCGTCTGCCCACCCAAGATGCCTCTGCCCTCATGCCTAGATTCTTCATCACCGCCAACAGCCGCTTGTATCGGCCTGGCACGTCGAAGCCACCAAGAGCCTGCAGCTTGCGCAGGTCAACAGGGCACAGAGCCATAGGCTGCCTGTCGTCCTCTTCCAAATGTCCCGAGCCATTCATCAGGCACGCGTGCCACACACAGTGCTCCAGCCCCAAGAGGTGGCCCACCTGGGCAATGACTGTGGCAAAGTCAATTGCCTTGACTGGGTTCAGCCAGGGATTGCGCTAAAGTACAGCCTAGCTCTTCTCCGACTTCAAGTGATCCAGGGCGAATGGGGACACCACAGCGATGCCTTGCAAAATCACTATAACTGACAAGTAAACCCACCGACCGCCACGCTTCGCCATAACTGAACTAGTAATCATTAATGCCCGTTAATGCAATTGTCATGTAGTTAAAGCAAGGTGTGCCAAGGCGGACCAGCGCCGGCAGCGTCTCGCACCAAAGCCAAACACCTCGCAACAAAAGCGACAAACCTCCGCGGCCGCAGTGAACCAAAAACGAGCGCAGCCGCTCCCACCTCGTGCGCCATCAGCTTGCACGCCCGCCGCAGGATCGTCTCCCGCCGGGCCTCCGCCGGTGCCGAGGCGTCCAGCGTCACGCCGTGCCAGTGCTCCGGCGAGAAGGACACCGCAGGATCGTAGCGGGCGAGGCTAAAGGTGCCCACCCGCGAAGCCCCGGCGGCCATCCCCGCCACGAACAGGTCCCCTTCCCCGTCAAAAAGATCGTGGGTGGTGAGCGCCATCAGGCAGATGGCGTCGTGGGGGAGTGCGCGCACGAGCGCCTTGAGCAGGGAGGGCGCGTGCAGCTGCGTGCGCCCCGAGCCGCGGTGAAATCGGCACCGAATCTCCTGAACCCTGATCCTCGATCCCGGAGCGGGGATCAATGCGGCCTTGCCCCGGCCGACGTCCAGTCGCAGGCCGGTGAGCTCGCGCATGGGCACGCAGAAGAACGCCCCGGCGAAGTCCATCAGCTCAGACATCCTCGGGTTCACCGCAACTGTCTCAGCTTGCTTGGAGAAGTCGCCCAGCCCCGCCAGGTAGATGGCGGCGCCAGGGTACCTGCCGGGCAGCCCGGCGCCCGCGGGGTCGAACGGCTGGCTCCTGGGCACCTTCCACAGGGGGGAGATTGTTTCGAGACAAAATAACGACGCACAATCTCGCTGTTCCTCCTTCGTCAAGGAGATTTGCCAGGAGCCCCGTGACAAAACAAGGCGGATGAAAAGGCGAGAACAGCAAGTGTCAACACAGCATCTCCATTGTTCAAATATCGGTGTTCACACCAGCAACCCAGACAACGATAACAACATGGAACCCAAAAGGTCATCCGGAGGTGCCTAGGGGAGCCAAACCTTCCACCGTGGGCCGGAGAGCCATGGGCAGGAGGCCAAAAAGTCGGCGTAGCTCTGGCCGTCCTCGCTGTACTGCGCCAGCCAGTCGTTCGGGCAGATCGGCCGCGGCACGGCCGTGAAGAATCCGACGCCAAGCATGAAGTCCCGGGTGCCGGGAGGCGGTGAGCCCAGGGCTGCGGCGGACTGTTTGTGGGTTGGGGTCTTGAATCCGCGAGCGTAGGGGACGAAAGGGGGCTTGTGATGCCGTTTCCGCCTGGCGGCTTTGGGCATGGTGACGTGAGCCTGGGCGGTGGCGCGTGCGGGCTTGGGGGTGCTTTGGAGGCGGGCGCTCGGTTTTCTGGTGGAGCCTGTCGTGTTTTGGGGCCGGGGGTGGGTGGGTTTGGGTGTGGGGAAGGTGCAGGGATGCGGAAGGAAGCCATGGTGAACCTGCGATGGTGCTGTCCCCAAGGCTGTGGCGGGTGGAGCGTTCCGAGATTGGATTACGGTGCTGTAAAAGGGTCGTCAATTATCGCTTACATTAAAAAATGGATGATTAGGACCATCACATGAGCTGGCTACCCTTGTGGTCCAGAATTCAGCTGTTAGGCCTTGCAAAAACATCACCAAAGGTTAGAATGATGGCGAAAATGCTGGCAATGGTACAAGAACAAGGAGACTACATCAGCGCTCCCGATCGACGAAAAGGTCAACACAGTTATGCGCATGCCCGACACATCATTGTGACATGCAGCACGCTAATGTTGCAGGAGTTGTGCGCTGCCAAAATGCGTCATTTTCCAAGGCGCCACGCTGAATTGCTGGCTTGAGCAACGGGCAAGGAAAACAACACAGCGGTAAGGTGCACTAGCCCATAAGTGCAAAAAGACGCGGTAGGCAATTTTGTCGGGGAATTGGAGCAACGCACATGATTTATGGGGCTGGCCGTGCAGAATTGTGGGGCCAAGGGAGGCCACGGCAGATGGGGGTGCGACGTTGGGGATCAGGTCATCGACAGTAAGGGACACTGAACGTCATCATAAGCAATTTAAGCCACGCACCAGAGCAGCTAAATATGCAAGCAGCTGTGGACATGTGCTACTTTAGTACAGTTCAGAGGTACATCAATACGTTGAATTCAGAATGTGGTTGCAACTCAAGGCATGATGCCCAAACTCATCGATCAGTACATGAGCCAAGTCATCGACAATCTGCCCGTGTGGCTCCTCAACGACAGCTGTGGGAGGGCTGTTTGAATCTGCATGGGCGACAATTCAAGATGATGTGGAAATGATCCAGAATGGCTGCATGCACGTGTGGCGTCATCTGTTCCCTACTTTATTGTTGCATGGCTTTTTGTGTTGTTTTCTATTAACATTTACAGCCAGAATGGCTGCATATACTGTTATCTGAATGAACTTCAGAAATATTATTTATTTTGCTATGTGTTTACATGGATAGAATGGCCATGGATGCACTGGTTGAGTGACACCATGCCACTTGAATTGGCATGGCGGCAGCTGTGCGAAGTGCGGCAGTTTTAAAATTGAATCTGATGAGCCGAATGATAGAGAGCTGAAGCGGCATTTTTTTTGCAGCTTGGGCCGTGTGTTGTGCATTGGTGATGCAATCTTTGCACGAGGATTACATGAGCGGCCGGTCACAGCTGATGGAAGTGGGACACATGTACGGGGATGGTACGGGCTGAAAGGCAGTCTGATGCAAACTTCCAATAAGGATAGGACTATTAATGGATCAGCGTAGATTTAATGTGCTGACATGAACGAGGTTTCGAAGTGCTGTTTTGGGTAGCTGTCGCGACACAATGTCTCCCTGCCCGTTTTTGAAGGGGATGCAGCAGAACGAACAACAATTTGTGCTGTTGCAAACACCTTGCTGGCGTTCTCTGGGTGTGTCACGTTTGCACAAAGGTCGTGGGGTGCAGCCCCACCAGTCTGGCTTCAAAGCCAGCGGTTCTCGTTCCCAAACGCTAGGGTTTTGGCGCGGCACCCCATGGCATGCTCATCACCCGCGTTGCTTGGGTTTCTGAGTGAATCCACGTGAATCGTTGCTGTTTCGTTCAGCGCTTCTGTCCATATCGTTGCCGTTTGCATGCGCCTGAATGTCCAAAGCCCATGAGCTCTTTGCGTCCAGATTGGGGGCTTTCAATCGCTGGCGCCGTGCATGCAAAGCGGTGGGGCATCCCTGATGCCGTTCCCCGTTTGTAAACGAATTCAGGCAGGAGACAGGCAAGCGCTTTTGGAGATGATCGTGCACACAAGATGCCTGTTCGTCAGACCAGCGTGTCGTTCAGTGCGTGGTGCACAGCTACATGCATGTCACGGACACTGCTTTAAGCAGTATAAGCAAACAAGGAGCTGACCGTAACCTTTGCGGTTTAACCTGTGACACTTGTTGAACTGAACTGCACACCCAGACTGTTGTTGTGAATTGGAAATCCACAGCACGGTGACGATGGCCAATGCACCAGTTACCATGAAAATGAGTTCATATCTTGCCACAATTCCTTGCCGTTGCAACTGAAGGTGATGTTGACCTTCGTGGCCCTCATAAACAAGCCTTAAACACCAAAATTCTTCCAAACCGTTTCTTTGTCCAGCGATGCATTGCCGCATTACGTTTATGAAGTTCAGGTGACAATGTGGTTGACGCCTGACCGTTCTGTCAGAAGGGGATTCAGTGAGTAGGCTGCAGAGTTTGGACCAAGATGGGTGCTACAGTTGTTCAGCGGCCTGATGCAGTTTCCATCAAAGAATTGGAGAACTCGCAGAGTGCAATGTTTGACGGGTCGACACTCCGTTGCGA